ATACCCTTGGAAGACCTTTTGACTTCAAGTCCCAGAAAATAGTGAAGTGATCCTAAGTCCTTAATAAGAAATAAAGCACAGAGTTGAGAAATCACAAGTTTGCAAGCTGCAGAATTTGGTCCTGTAACCAAAATATCATCAACATACACTAAGACATACACCACAGAAGTATCTTTCTTGACAAACAATGAATGATCATTCTGGGAACCAAAGAATCCAAGCGAGTGTAACGTAGTTGTCAACTTCTCATACTAGGCTCTGGGAGCCTGTTTCAGACCATACAAAGGCCTATGCAATTTGCAGACATGATATGGTTTGACAGAGTCCTTCAGTGAGATTACCATGCAAAAACGCATTACTCACATCTAATTGATTTAGAAACCAATCAAACTGAGATGCTAAGGTAGTCGAATAATGATTGGTTTAGCAACCGGACTGAATGTTTCATTACAGTCCAGACCTTGTTGCTAATGAAATCATTTAGCAACAAGCCTGGCTTTGTATCTGCCAACCGAACCATCATGTTTTCTTTTGATATGGAACATCCACTTACAGCCAACTAGGTTTTGAGAGGAATGGGGAGGTACCAAAGACCATGTCCCGGTTTGAAGCAAGGCATTAAACTCCTCCTGCATAGCTTGTCTCCAATGCAAAGACTTGGATGCTTAAAGATGGGTAGAATGAGTAAAATCAAGAGATAAATGAGATAGAATAAGATGCTTAGTTGTTAAGAGAGCATTGGGTTTGAAAATGACTAATTTTAACCGAGTAGTCATGGGATGAATATTTGTAGTGGGTTGGATAAGTGGTGATATAATTGATGAAGTAGGATTTGGAGGTAATATAATAGGTGATAAGGTGCTAGATGCAGATACAGTGTGTATGGAAGATGGGTGTGAAGAAACATGAGTGGGATTTGTGAAGGTTAAGGATGTAGGTATGGAAGGTTGAATAAAAGTAGGGGTAGAAGAAGGTGAAGGCACAGTGGCTTGTTGATGAAGAAAAGGAAATGTATGCTCATCAAATATAACATGCCTGGAAATATAGATTTTTCCAGTTTGAGCATCCAAACATCGATATCCTTTATGATTTAGACTGTAGCCTAAGAAGACACAAGATTTACTTTTTGGATCAAATTTGGAAGAAGTGTATGGTTTGAGCCACGGAAAACATCTATAACCAAAGATCTTGAGAGTGGTGTAATCTGGTGGTCTATGAAAAATATATTCCCAATGAGAAGATTTGACACATGTGGGCATGCGATTAATGAGATATAAAGATGTGGAAAGAGCTTTAACCCAGTAGATGTGAGGAACCTGAGAAGTTGCAAGGATAGTGCGAGCAGTTTCAACCAAATACTGGTGTTTTCTTTCAGCACATCCATTCTGTTCTGGAGTATGGGGATAACTGAGTTGATGAGAAATCCCATGTTCTTGAAAAAAATTTAAGAAATTGTGATTTACAAACTCACCACCAGAATCTAATCTCACTGTAATGATCTTGAATCTCAACAAGTTTTCAACTATAGTTTTGAAGTGAACATAAGTGCTATAAACATCATACTTGTACTTAAGGGGAAAAAGCCAAGAATACTTGGTGAAATCATCAACCAAAATGAGGTAATAGTGATATCCATTAACAAAACCAATGGGTGCAGGACCTCATACATCAGTATGTACTAGTTCAAGAGGCTTGCTTATGTTACAGGGAACATAAGTAAATGATTTTCTAGAGCATTTTCCTATAGCACAACTAGAACACACAAAATTATTTATCTTATCTGAAAGAGAAATACTAGTTTGAGAAACAAGTTTATTTAGAATTTTGAAGGATGGATGACCCAGCCGTTGATGCCATATATCCTGAGAAGCTTAAGTACTTGCTACATAAGCAAATTGAGTGCCAGCAGCAGAAGGTGCAAGAAATGTATAGAATCCAGCTTTGACAGGGCCTTTAAAAAGCTCATTCCCCGAAGTAAGATCATTCACAGTAAAGTGAAAAGGATATAGATGAACAGAACACCAGTTATCAAGAATAAATCGATTTGCAGAAATCAAATCTTGTTTTAGATCAGGAACATATAACGCATTTTGCAGGGCAAATGTATGATTAGATGTAGTAAGTCTAGAAGAACTAGAATGAGTAATAGGCAAACTTTTGCCATCACCAATATAGACTTACTCATGACCATTGTAGGGTTCAGAATTCTGAAGATTGGTAGAGGAATTTGTCATGTGAGAGCTTGCACCAGTATCAATAAGCCATGTAGGATTTGCAGAAGAGGTACCAACATGAAGTGCAGTCTGAGAATTCTTTTTGCCATAACCAGGATTCATCCGATGAGGACAATTAATAGCCTCATGATCAAATTGGCGACATGTTTGATAGGAGTTTCTTCTATTGAAGTTGTTAAAATTGGATCTGGATCTTCGATTGTACCTTTGACTTCCTTGGTAAGAAGAACTCTGACGAGAATTATTGAAAGATCAAGAATTATTGGGGCAATTTTGTGAATTTCTAGGGTTTGAGAAACTTTGATCCATGCCACGTCCTTGTGAGGAGTTGGAATTTAGGCCTTGTTGGACAGAATACACCTGAGAATTTGAGTCACCAAGCAGTGTAGGAAGAATGTCTGTGGATGAATTGTAAGCTTGAAACGGTGCCGATGATGAAACTCTCTTGCGACTATTTAATTGAATCTCTTTGCTGAGTAGTAAGCCATGAAGTTCATCAATGGTGGTTGAACTAAGACGAAATTGAATGGCATCCACAAAAGAATCAAATTCAGGTGGTAATCCATGAAGAGTGATGAAGATAAGTTTCGAATCAGCAACTGGAGCTCCAGCACTTGCGAGAGTGTCTGCAATTCCTTCAATTTATTGAAGATAAGCAACGGCGGTCGAATCACCTTTGGTGATTGTTCGGAGATGAGATCGCAGTTCATGAATATGTGAATGAGATGTCGTCGCAATGCGTGACTCCAATTTTGACCAGAGTTCTCAAGCTGTTGTTACATCTACAGTGTAAAGAATTAAAGAGTCTGAGAGTGTGGAATTGATCCAGATCAGAATGTTCTGATCATTCTCAAACCATGCCACATACTAAGGATGGATTGTTGAAGTGCAAGGACCGGAAGAATCAAGAAGATACTTAGGTGGCGCCACCATTGATCCGTCAACAAATCCGGTGGGATTGTACCAGCGAAAAATCGGTACAAAGAGAGCACTCTAAATGAGCCAATTTATGGTTGTCAATTTGATTGGAACCAGCGATCCAATGTTTTGGATTGTGAGAGAATAATTGACCAAATTAGGGCACGAATTTGGGGTTGAAGAATGTGTAAGAGGAGGCTGAGAGATAGAGTCAGAGGAAGACGAATGAGGTGTCGCCATTGTTTGTGGCTTAGGGTTTCAGAGAGAAAGATCGTGAAATCGCAGAGAAGCGGAAGAGAAGGATCGGCAGAGGTCGTTAAACACCAGCGATCGATACCATGTTAGAATCTAGAGAGGTTTTAGTAAGAGAAAATGTAGAGAAAGAGAGTAAAATAATGCTGTGTATATTTCCATCATATCAATAAGATTACACTTAGGTATATATATACCAGTATTAACATAGAATAATCACCTATCTTAATAGGACTCCTATAGGTACTTGGAACATCAACAACCTATTTAGCTTTGTAGGAACTTATTGTCACTTCGTGCAACTGTCTTTCCAAAGCTATGGCTGAATGCTTCAGTACTCATCTCTCTGTATAGTCATCCAAGTATAAATTTGGTCATTCTGGCGCATCTTTTTAAGGGAATGCAGTGTTATTCCTCTATTTCTCTCACTTTGGCATCTCTTTTTTATTTTTATTCAGGTCTTTGGCCCCCTATTATGGCTCGGGTTGAAACCATGACTTCTCGATGCGGCAGCGGTGCAGTAGTGGTCGGCAGCGGTGCGATTGCTTATAGCCAGTGCTGTCTTAGCAATGTGCATTATAGCCATCATGCATGATTCTTTTTGTTCTCTTCTCCGATCATCATTGTAGTACATGTTGGATTTATTCAACCCTACATTAAGTGTTATATTATAAGTAGGTTTTGATTGAATCCTTAATAATATATGATTATGATACTTTACTTGAGAGCCAAGAAGTAAGAGTTTTAGTTTTCCTTTATGGACGGAATCTAAGGCTCCTTGGCTAGTATATAAACACCAGTCCTTGCTAACCCTAGATACGACAAGAAGGCTTCCTATAAAGCATTGTCATCAAGCTAGGAGTTTGCAGAAGAGTTAGTATTCACGGTTGCATAACATTTCCATGGATGCTGCTCCTTTCACAAGTAAGTGCTTCATCTTGTTCTCGATAATTATTATATGTTTTGATCATGTAAACATTATGGCTAACAATTGGTATACGAGCCATTGTTTGTATGGTTAAAACCAATAAGAACTAATATCTTATATGTTTTCAATTAGTTAACATGCAACGCAAAACTTTTACATGCATAAAGTTATAACTATATTCGAAGACTATAAAAAACATTAAGTGTTAAGACCTTGCATAGTTTTTTAAATTCATGTCAGTTTTAACTGTTCTGCATGATTATTAATACTTCGGTACTTATAAAGTTAAGATGACCAGCCTCTACATAATTTAGTTAATCATATATTAAATCTACAACCGTTTATCATGAGAGATTGAATCACGTAGTAGTTCATAAAATTGCATTCAATATATGATATAGAGACTGTTCATCTTGCTCACAAGTGTTGATCATTGTTTTCTGGATCATATATGAATGGTATGACATGATTTATGCGCCACATCAATTGTGAAGGTTCTCATCTTGCTCACTAGTGTTGGGAATCAACATGAAGGAAATTGGTGTAGAGCATAAGTCAGTGTCAAAAGACATTGATTCATCTTGATCATAAGTGTTGGATCAATTTCATTTTTATAAAGTTTTGGGATTGGTTTAATCAATGCATGCATGTTGTATGTATATTCAGTGATGAATGTTATGAACACTGTTCAAACCCTAAATGGAACAAACTACAAAAAGTGGAAACAAGACCTTGAAATCTATCTGGGCTTAATGGATTTAGACATGGCAAGAAGGGAGAACTCTCCTCTAGAATCTGCTACAGATGCTACAGCTAATGTCAAGGCAAAGTATGAAAAGTGGCAGAAGGCTAATCGAATTGCTATTTTGGTGTCAAGGCAAAGTATGAAAAGTGGCAGAAATCCATGTCTGACACAATGAGAGGTGGCATTCCTGAGTCTGAGAGTGCCAAGGAATTCTTGGCATCTATTGATGAAAAATTCAAGGAATCAAATACAGCAGAAACTGGGAATCTCATGAATAAGCTTATGTCCAAAAGGTGTAATGGTATAGGTTGTGTAAGGGAACATATATTAGAACTGCTAAATATTGGTGCTAAATTAAATGCTCTCAAAGTCCCTATGAGTGATCCCTTTTTAGTTCATGTGGAACTTAACTCATTGCCAAATGAGTATTCACAATTGAAAAGCATATACAATGCATAGAAGGAAAAGTGGAGCCTGAATGAACTGATTGCAATCTGTGTGCATGAGGAACAACATATAAGGCAGGAAATCTTTGAAAAGAAAGTGAATATGGTGACTGATCACCACAACAACACTGCAAGGCAAGACTACAACAAAAGGTCACCACATCACTCCAAAGTAGGTACGAACAAGAGCTTCAAAGTTGTCAAAGGCACGTGTTTCTTCTGCAAGAAACTTGGACACATGAAAAGACACTGCCAGAAGTACAAAAAGTGGATTTACAGTGGTAAGGGAAAATGTAATGTTATGATTTTTAGAGGTGAAGTTTTAGTTTGTTTTGAAACAAATAATGTTGAATATGCTAGAAATTCTAGGTGGATTAACAGTGGTGCTTCAATACATGTGACAAACTCATTATAGGACTTCATAAGCAAGAAAGTGGCAAGAAGGGATGAAGTCTCAATGATCGTTGGGAACAAAGGAAAACCTCTTTAGCCAACACTTTCGGTCTTTGAAGATTATCTGTTCGGGACCATCCGATAAAGCTACGAAAGAATCTCATGGTAAGTTATGTTTGCATATTTATGGAAAAAATGGTAGCAAAGGTGAATTTATGTACCAGGTTTAGGACCAAAAGTAGAAGAGATAGATAGTTGAGACAGCTCGGGAGCCTTCCAATTCCCTGAAATCAGAAGTGGGCAGTTCTTCAAATCGTTGGCTCTCGAGGGATCTAATGACAATAATTTCTTGCGATATCTAGGTTTAAAATTAAAAAAAAACCTAGTTTCACCCTTAATGGTAGTCAAATCGAAGAGATAGAGGAAATCTCTAAAACCTAAGGATATGCCTAGCTTCAGACCCAATGCCAGGAAGGTCGACATAACCAAGTAAGAGTTCGGGTTCAGTTGCATAGGGTGAGTATTTGTGAAGAATAAAATGAGATGAATCATGGGGTGGAGCGGGAAACTAATAGCTCTTAAGTGGTTCGGAGACAAAACAGTATACTTTGCTGGGATACAGGAGCCTGAATACATGTCGGCTTTGGAATGGGCTGAGATGCACGTCATCTAGAACATGACATATTGGTCACGAGCCTCGACGATTTCAAAGTGTGGTGGAGTACCACCATATTTAGACCAATGTGTACGTCTCGACATAAGAAACGAGGTGGGAGACTTGCCAACCGAAATTGATTCGAGAAGATAAGAAGATGAATTTATACCTATAAACGTAAGTGGAATGTTTGAAATATTCTCACGGGAAGAGTTTGCAATGGAAAAGCAAGAAAGGAGAAACTCAATTTATAAAAAGAGAAACGAATGCATATGAAGTTTGGACGTAAATTTTCAACCTTACAAAGGACGGATGAAACTCCAATTGAAAGGACAAATGCTATAGACAACCCGATGGATAGGACAAGACAGGTAAGGGAAGTATACTTTTCTCATGTGTATTTCAGTGCGTAGTCACAATCTAGGTGACGAGAGACGACGATTTGACAAGAAAAGCGAAAGAATAGAGCTTATTCCGGAGCACATGTTCAATGATGGAAAAGCGTATATGACAACAGAATTTAATTTGGCATGAAATTATGAAACACGCTAAACCCAAGGTAATGACACATAAATATGCAGAGAGCTTAAAGGGAGGGATCCCCATTTTTTGAAAAAAATGGGGATTAGGTGTGGGGCCCACTTCACATCTAATTTCAACGATCTGAACCGTCTATTTTGTTAGTCTTGATTCATAGATCATCCTTGCAAAATATTAGCTAAATTGGAAATGTTTAAGACATCTAATTGGGTTCAAGGAAATGAACGAATACTTTGTTATATAAGAAAATATGAAATTTGATATTGATAATTAAATAGGCAAATGATTTCGGATTGAATTGAATTTTTGCAAGGATGATCTATGAATCGAGACTAACAAAATAGACGTTCGGATCGTTGAAATTTGATGTGAAGTGGGCCCCACACCTAATCCCCATTTTTTTCAAAAAATGGGGATCCCTCCCCTTAAGCTTTCTGCATAAATATGTATACAAGTATGCATAGAGATATATACAAATATATAAAAAGTACGTGCAGATATTCGCATATCGGTACACAGAAATATGCAGATATATGTTGCGTGTAAGTATGTCGGTGTGCCTATATATGCCTATGTACCCAGACATATATATATATATATATATATATATATAGCCCGGTGTGGAAGTGTGGCAAGGATGTGATTGTAGACATTGAAATTTCGTTGAAATAAATGTTAGCCATCGCATTAAAATTACATTTGTAAACATTGAAATTTTAGTGAAATAAATGTTGACCATTGCATTAAAACTACAACATACACCCAAATTCACCTACAACAATCCATCCAAATTCACCTACAACAATCCATCCAAATTCACCTACAACCTCCACCAAATTCACCTACAACATACACCAAATTCACCTACAACAATCCATCCAAATTCACCTACAACCTCCACCCAAATTCACCTACAACATACACCCAAATTCACCTACAACAATCCATCCAAATTCACCTACAACCTCCACCCAAATTCACCTACAACATACACCCAAATTCACCTACAACAATCCATCCAAATTCACCTACAACCTCCACCCAAATTCACCTACAACAATCCATCCAAATTCACCTACAACCTCCACCCAAATTCACCTACAACATCCACCAAAATAAATGGATGGTGGTGGTTCATTCCCAAAGTCTATAAATAGGCTCCTCCATCAAAGAATCAGGAGAGGATTTTTACATACACTTTCTCTACTCCCAAATTGGAAGAGAAGTCACACCACACCAAAGCCTTGAAGCCTCGAAACTTAGAAGCTCTCAAGCAAATCCCGAAGGATCAAGAAAGCCCTCTTCATTCTTCGTGAAATCCTCCTTCAAGATCAAGCCCCAACGCCCCTTGGAGAACTTCCACTCATTCAAGATCAAGCCCCGACGGCCCTTGAAGAAGGTGTTCATCACTCATCAACTGTTCGTCCAAGATCAAGCCTCGACGGCCCCTGGATCAGCAACACTACCTCTACGCGTTTCAAAGATAGAATCAGAGGCCAAATTCGTAGAAGAGATTGTAACCCCTAAATCATTAATACAAATATTATTTTGTACACGTGTTCTTGTCTCATTCGTTTCAGGAATTTTCCGTGTTTACAACTTTGGCACGCCCGGTGGGACAGTCTCTACCTCTCATCTCTATCTTTGAATCCGCAACAAGCACAAATGGCGTCAAGGAAGGCCCAAGTTGTTCTCGCTGCCAATGCAAGAAACAAGAGCGCCATCACGACAGGGGGCGTCACTTCAGGCATCATAACTCGAAGCAAGGCAAAAGCTCTTTCTGCCGCCTCTTCCGCCCCTGCATCAACTCCGCCGAAGGCACAAGAGCACCCGAGGCACAAACCGGTGATCACCCTGGCCTCGCTCAGGGCGCCAAGAGAGGAAAGCCAGAGGAAGTACTCTGAATCCTTACTTTCTGATGCCGACTCAAGCAGCGGCATAGCTATGCAAGTCATGGTTGCTGGAGCGACTTCAATTGAAGAGCAGCTGGCTCAGATGAGTGAAACAATCGCAAAACTCACAAGGACTGTGGAGGACAAAGACCTGCAAATCGCAGCACTCGTTAACCAACTAGATGCAAAGCCCGATGAGAAAGTCAGGCAAGGGGATAATCCAATAAAGAGGGAAAACGACGAGGATGAGGAACCTCTAGTGGAGAACGTCGAAGAGACACTGAAGTCGGACCAAGCGGCGACACTCATGGGGTCTCTCTCTATCCAGCAGCTGCAGGAGATGATCGCCAACACCATCAAGGTGCAGTATGAAGGAAGCTCACATGATTCCGTACTATACTCAAAGCCCTACTCCAAGAAGATTGACGCTTTGAAGATGCCGAGGGGGTTATCAACCACCAAAGTTTATGCAGTTCGATGGAAAGGGGAACCCGAAGCAACATGTCGCCCACTTCATTGAAACCTGCAACAATGCTGGAACAGAAGGAGACTACCTCGTCTAGCAATTCGTGCGCTCGCTGAAAAGCAACGCCTTTGACTGGTACACCGACCTCGAGCCGAGTCTATCAACAGTTGGGATCAGCTAGAAAAGGAATTCCTCAACCGCTTCTACAGCACGCGCCGCACCGTAAGCATGCTGGAGCTGACCAGTACGAAACAGTGGAAGGAGGAACCCGTCGTCGACTACATCAATAGATGGCGTTCATTAAGTCTGGATTGCAAAGATCGGCTTTCTGAAACCTCTGCCATTGAGATGTGTGTTCAAGGCATGCACTGGGGGTTACATTACATTCTCCAAGGCATAAAACCAAGAACGTTTGAGGAGCTGGCAACGCGTTCCCACGACATGGAGCTGAGTATCGCCAATCACGGAAAGAATGAGCCGATCACCCCACTTCAAGAAGGATAAGGTGTTCGCCCCGAGTGTGGACAAGACTGGAAAAAAGCCTGCCAAGGAAACTTTTACTGTCAACACTACCCCCATCAAAACTCCATCTGCGCCTATCAAGACCACCTCTGCGCCTATCAAGATTTCCTCCAAGACCAAGGCAAATGAGACAAAGAGAAAGTGAGCCTCCTCGCACCCAAGACAAGTATAAAAACACCTTGAGAGAGTTGGAGCAAAAGACGTACCCTTTTCCTGACTCAGACGTGGATGCGATGTTAGATGACTTGCTGGAAAAGAAGGTAATTGAGTTACCAGAGTGCAAGCGCCCTGAAGAAATGAATCGAACGAACGATCCTAGGTACTGCAAGTACCATCGTATCGTAAGCCATCATGTGGGCAAGTGCTTCGTCCTCAAAGAACTCATTATGAAGCTAGCGCAACAAGGGAGAATCGAGCTAGACCTTGAGGACACAGCCGCAACACATACTACTACTACGGTGGCGTTCGGATCCTTCGATCCCGTGCCTCTCCAAACGACACCCGACCATTCCTATCAATGTGCAAGCTACACGGCGCCATCTACT